CCCCACCCACCCACCCACTTGGACAGTGACCCTTATCAAGCATAGACACAAATGACGACACTCTCCACATGAATAAAAGTAATGATTTATTGGTCAAGCTAAGATGTTCTCCAAATTACTTTTTCTGCCCGACACCCAACTTCCCCCTCCCACATACCTACCAACAACGCTTGAAAACGCACTGTTTTGGAGTACTTCACAAATGAAACAAAACTTCATTCTTCATATATTTTTTTTTCATTAATTGTCTTCTTTATCTGAAACTACTACAATGACATGTATTTTATAAGATATTATACAGATTCTTGTTTCTGATTTGAGCATGATAGTTGGATATGTGCCGCAAAATTGCCTCTGGTCTGCTAATCAGACATAGTGTGTCCGCTATGTCTGTACCAGTTAGCTCGATTATATTGCAACTTTAATTTCCAACCTTTATTCACACCCTAAGGTCCATTTGCCATTTCAGCATTTTTTCTTTTCTTTTCACTTTCCCGTTTCATCCCCCCCCCCCCCCAAAAAAAAACAAACAACAACAACAACAACAAAATGTTCCCCTTTCTCAAGTCCCCTTTCACTGTTTCAATGTTCACTATTTCACCTCTCACCTTTTCAATTCCCCCTCCCCCTTTCTTTAACTTTAACCCTTTTCACCCTATTCCTTTTCCATATCATTTCTTTCACCTTCCCATTTCAACGCTGGCCTTCCATCTTTCTACTTTCACATTTCACTTTTCACCTTTACACTTTTGCCAATTCACTCTTTCATCTCTCATATTTTCACATTTCACCTCCCCTCTTTAACCTATATTCTTTTCCCTTTCACATTTCCACTTTTTTCCCATCGTTTTCACTTTCCCCTTTGGCCGTTCACTTCCCATCTGTCCTCTTTCCCTTCCTACCCCGTTCTCGTCTACCTTCCCCCTTTTCTCCTTTCTCTTTCACCTTTCCTTTTCGATGTTCACCTTCCACCTTTCCCCTTTTTCGGTTATCTCTTTTTCCCTCTCCATAAAACCATTTTCCTTTCACCCTTCCTTTTCACCCCCCACCCCTTTCACCTTCCCTTTTTACCTTTCACCTTTCACCTCTTCCCCAGGAGTTGCCGTGTGTCATCGTGGGTACCATGATGGACCTAGAAAACTCCCGTCAGGTAGAAAAGTTTGACACGCTCAACTGGATTTACAGCAACAATTTTGCAGGTGGCTTTGTGGAGGTATAGCCTTTCAGACAACTTTAAAATCTATGTGTGCCGGTGGCAGTGCTGTGTTGTCACGCTTGTTGTTGTAGTTGCTGTTGTTGTTAATGCTGCAGCTGCTGCCTTATTATTTTTGTTGTAGTTTTATTTATGGGTCTAATGTTTTCTTTTGATGAGTTTGGTATTTATTTTTCGTCTTTATCAAGGATATGAACAATACAAATGCTATATTTATAAATAGCGGTAGTAGTAGTAGTAGTAGTAGTAGTAGTAGTAGTAGTAGTAGTAATAGCAGTAGTAATAGTAGTAGTAGTAGTAGTAGTAG